GATTTGTTATCCCTAATTTTTGCCTGACTGTTCTTGTTTTGAGATTACGGTCAGCGGGATGCCCCAGCTTTTCTTAAGTCTCCTTTATAGGTTTTGACTTAATGGGATTTTTTTTCTTTTTTTTTAGAGATAATGACTGCCTATGTGGTAGGGAACCATCAGTCTTTTGATTCCAGAGGAATGTTTTTGATATCACTCGTTGTATACAAAGTGAAAGTTTATGATTGAACGCGCATTTGAATTAACTGAGAGACTACCCTGCCCCAGGTTTTGATTGAAGGTTTCATTTTGTGAAAAAGAAAATTCCTACTTCTTTGGCTCAAAGGGGTTGACTAGGGATTATCTTCCTTATAACTCCAGTGTTTAGGATTTGAAAGAACGCTTGTACATCGTCAGCAAGGTCTGTTCAAAAGCATACTGTATGAGATTAAGGCATTATTTTCGTCATCCTCCCTCTAAAGGCTTGCAACTTTTTGAAACAATAGTTGAATATCATAAAAGGAGTAAAAAGCATGGTTTAAATATAATGAAAATGAATGGATTAATTCAAGACAAACATATTTAATGCATTAATGAAAATGACCAAAGTCTGACATATAGATAAGTGTTTGAACAACAAAAGAGATTACAATTGAAGATTCAAAAGAAACAGAAGCCTCTTTGTCTGAACTTGTCACTTCAGGTGGTGATCCTTGGAGGGACGGCAGAAGAATTCAATTTGACCATCTTGTGAGAACTCCAACGCTCCTTCATCGATCAGGTCTTGAATTTGATATTTCAAGCATCCATCGGCTATCAGTATCATGCCCCTTGTGAGGAGAGCTTTCACTTCTTCTTTCCCCTTGGATAGGTTCAAGAACATTTCTTGAAGTTGAGCGTTTTGAGCCTGGATGTCCTTGATAGTCTGCTCTAGAGCCATCTCTACTGAAATAAACAGTAGGAAGATAAGGAGACCTATATGGGAGAAACCTATCATGATATGATGCATGATATGTGGATGCATTTTTTCAAGGATCTCACGGGGAAAACACAAGAAAATGTTAGAAGTTGAACTTTGCAACAGCTTTGATTGGAGAATTTTATATCTGTGGATGTCTTTCCACGAGAATTAAGCTCACCATGTCAAGTGGGTCATAGCCCTTGACTCAAGTTGTTGTACTTGATCTTTGACGGTGTTTATTTAAAGGAAAATAAATCCTCTCCCCTTAATAGACGTCTGGTTCAACGTGACCCTGCATCATAGACCCTTGAGATCCTTGAAATGGTTATTGAAAATGCTATGGTATGATGCTCTGATGTTATGTACAAGTATGAAAAGTAAGCAAGTTTATATACAAATAATCATATACACACAAAACAGACAAGTCCTTAGGTTTAGGCTTGCATGAGGTTTGTAGGTAAGTACCCTCTTGAAGTTTAGTTGGCTCAACCTGTCCTAGTTAATATTAACCGGGTTCTAAGGGATCTCAATATCACTGACCTTTCTTTTAGGCATTTTCTCAGCATAATCAATCTTTTCTTGCGGCCGAGATATCCCAAAAGTCCAATCTCAATGAGTGTAGTATCGAGTATCAATAATTTTCAGATTTCCGTCGAAACATGTTATCTCACTATGTCCTAATGGCCAAGTTGTTCAACTAAGGTTCTAAGGCCAGTTAGTGCTTCATGATTCCGCACAGCGGCCCCGTATTCTCCTCGATTCAACATAACGGATACTGGTACCAACAAATGTGTCACACTAACATAGCCATTGCTTCAACCGTGTTGGTCTACACCGTACAGTTTCCACAATCTATTGCTACTTACCGAAAAGGTGCCCCAGATCCGGGTAGAGGATTAAAACAAGCCCAAACAAGGAACCAAAATATAAAGCAAGCAAGTAAAACAAAGAGAGCAAGTAAAGGTGATCTAGCCCTAAGGTAACCCCACTTTTAAGTAATGTCCCCAGCAGAGTCGCCAGTTCTATGATACGGTTGGAGAACTGACTTAGGTGTTTTGTGTTTTATCGTAAATGTTACGGTTAGCAAGAGTCGCCACCGAATTTTCTTTTATCCAAAAGGAAAGGCTTAAAAGAACAGGAAAGACTTTTGAGATTATTTCTGAGTTCGGGGGTAGATTATGAAAAGGGAAGTTATTAGCACCCTTTACATCCGTAGTTATCTACGGCTCTTAGTTGCTTGCTAGATCACTTGCTTTTGTTTGAAAATGTGCTTGTGAGTTTTGAAAGTATTTGAAAACGTGCCTTTGTAATGATTCTTGTCTCATAAGAATGCATACAAAGTGTTGTTTGAAAAATAGTTCAAAGAGGTGTTTGTGTAATGTGTTTTTGAAACTGATTTTGAAAAGGGTGTCTTTGTAATGGTTATTGTCTCTATAAGAACGCGTACAAAGTGTTGTCTTTTGAAAATGTTTCAAATGAAAGTGTTGGTGTATAAAATGTTTTTGTTGTGAGAAAGCGAGCAACTAGGAGAAATCTACCAACTCAAAAGGTCTTAGATGTTCTTTTTCTCCTCCTTTAGATGTTGCTATCTTACCATTGTTTTAGTAAGAAGCCCCATCGTTGGATGTGAAGGGATGGGCGTGGGACATTTGTATAGTCATAGAAGGCAACCCATGGGAAGTTTTAGCAATGTTTTCAGGGACTAGATCATTTACCAAAGGCAACATCGAGGGTCATCGAGGGACTACAATCTTTTATCAAGGGTCTTTGTTAAAACGCCCATGTTCGAGAGACATGACTATTTTCCGAGGAAACAAGGGAGATTACCCTAAGGGTGCATGTATTGCATGCATTTGTCTTTGATTTTTAGGTTGTCTACTTGTTGATTTTATCTTGCCATACACACCTAATTACTAGCATTTGTATAAAAGTAATAAAAAGTGGAAAAAATAAATCCTACACTACTACAACCATATTGAAATGCATAAAAATATAAAGGCAAAAATAAGATAAAAAGAAGAAAAAAGAGTTCCTTAGATTGGGGGAACCAGTCTTTGATTCTGCTTTTGTTTGCCTCCTTCGATTGGGGGCTAGCATCCAGCAAGTCATGGCCTTCGATTGGGCCTTGGCAGCAGCTGGTCATGGCCTTCGATTGGGCTTGTCAGCAGGTGGGCATGCCTTTTGGTTCTGCCTTGTTACCTTGTTGCCTTCTTTGATTGAGGCTGGCAGCAGCAAGTCATGGCCTTCGATTCTGGCTAGACTTAGTGCCAATGTGCCTTCTGATTCTGCCTTTCTGCCTTGGAAGTTAGCATGGAAGCCCAAGACTTTGTTTCATGTTTCCTTCCCCATGTCTCTTTCATTTGGGACATTAATAAATAACATGGCTTAAAGCCATGTTAGCATTTGTCTAGTGGTCAAGTTAAGTATTAAAGTATATTTAACAAAACTCAAGAAACAATAAACAAAAGATTAGCCATAAAACAGATTAAAGGGTGCAAACGAAAAGGAGACAAAATATATATACATGCTATGTTTGAAACGAAGGATTCAAAGGTAAGAGTTTATTACCTTGCTTCAGCCTTGAATGGGTGTGGGACCTTGAGTGGAGGACCTGGGTTCTCCTGGATTAGAAGGGAGGGGCCAGCAGCTGGGCTTTGAATGTTGGATTCAAAGGAGAGCAGCAAACGTGATGCTCCTTAGGATTCGAAGGAAACTGAAGTATGGTTGTTCTTCAGAATCGAAGGAGGTGACAATGATTCTGGGTTTTTGATTTCAGAAGTGTTGAATGGACTTGAGAGTTTTGTTGTGTTTGAGAAGATTTTAGAGGTTTCGTTCCTCTGGTCAAAATATCCTGTCTAGCCTTTGCAAAGAATTCCTCTATTTATAGAGAAAGAATGGACATGTTGTCCAAAGCCAGCCTTGTAAAGAGATGATAAAATATATGTAATGTGAAAGTACAAGTGGGGGGATTTTTGTCAGTTGGGGTGCAGAAGATGTGACTTATGCTTCTGGCCCTCTGATTTTACAAAGATTTGGAAGCAACATAGCATGTCAAGTAGGGTAAGGCCATGAGGTTTCCTCATATTTGCTTCAAATGAAACCTGCTTCGAATGGCTTAGCTTGGATTTGAAGCAAGATGATTCGAAGGGGATCCACATTCCAATCGGAGCTTTGCATGTAGGTAGTTTTGTCCAATCGAAAGGTTTGCTTTCCAGGGGGCACGTGTGGCCAGCATGTCATGGCCTTCGATTGCAAGCATTCAGGTAGCATACTTGTCCAATCGAAGGGTTTGTCTTGCAGGGGGCACATATGGCCAGCGGATCATGGCCTTCCATTGCAAGCATGAAGGAAGCATACTTGTCGAATTGAAAGGCTTGCCCTTCATGGGGCACTTGTGGCAGCAAAATTTCGTACTCAAAGCAAGCATGCAGGCAGCATGTTTGGTGAATCGAAGGGTTTTCCTTGCAGGGGACACTTGTGGCCAATAAACTTGGGATTCAAAGCAAACATCCAGGCAGTGGAAGACACAAAAAGAAGCCTGCAACAAGAAGTCACATGCCCAGACGAAAGAGGCACGCTGGCAGCAAATTTTGAGCAATCGAAAGAGGTGCAAAGTCCAATCGAAGGGGGCTGAATCGAAGGAGGCCTATTTTTCTCCAAATTTGTCAAAAATGTTATTTTTATCTGTTTTCTCCCTTTTTGACAGTTTCCTTTTAATTTTAGTACTGGAAAATCTCAATGCACTTGTGCAAGCTTAAACCCTGAGAATCTTTATGAGAAAACCCTTGAGAATTGAGAGGACAAATTTTGGGGTACAATAGGGAACAATAGAAGAAAAGATACATATTCAATTCAAACAATTCCAATTTGGAAGAGAACCATCATATTACATTTTCTAAAAATCCAAGTTCGTTGTAATTTCCATTGTTCATCATATTACATCAAGAATCCATAAAGGTCTATTACAAAATTCATTTAACATTACAAAAGCCATTCAAATTCACTAATTCCTCTCCATATCTCTATCCAAACCGATGCAAAGTTCAATGCTACTCCATACTCAAAACAGCCTTGCAAAACTTGTCCATAGTGCAATACCCAAACAGCTTACAAACAACTGCCCATGAACCAGCTCCATGTCCACGCCTGAATTAGTACCTGCACTATATTTAGATCGTTTCAAAACCAAACTCAGTCCATACACTTTTGAGCTATCCAAGTCTAGTAAACATGCATCCATAAAATAGTTCCACACCTACATACATAAACAATCCAAGGCATCATAAATCAAACAGTTCACGGTATCCACATGTTCACATTCAGTTTTACACATCAGTTCATAAATACAAAAGTTGTGGACTCAGAAAAACCTACAAGATCATATACAGAATTCCATATCAAACAAGTCTAGAAATTTAACGTAAAATTGAACCACGCCTTGTTGTCTAAACAATAAAGCAAAAGAGAAAAACCGAACAAACCATTTACAAAATCATAAACCAATGAAAATCGGTCCATAAATTCAATCAGAAAAATAGTTTAGCAGCCTGCAAACATGCTTTAAAACTAGCCCAACACATATCAGAAATAGGCCCCTGTATTGAAACCACAAAACTATAATAACCGCCCTACATCAGTTGAAAAAGAGAGAAGAGTATTCATAAAAGAGAAAAAACTTAGAAAATATAAAGATATCAGAAAACTGTGAAATAGCAGTAAACCAGAATTACCAGCTCAGCAGCTTCTAACAGAATTCATGATAGTTTTCTTCTAATTAAATCTCATCCATCTAATACCATAACTAACTCCTAAGATCTAAGGGTCGGGTCCATTTTTTCATGTAACTAACTATTTCCAATCTAACAGAATATAAAAGAGAAAAACGTACCATATTGGATTCATTCTTCAAATTCCCTGAAGAATCACAGAATAAAGGCTCTCTTCTCCACCTTTATCATTCTTCAACCACTCTGGAGCTTCTGCAACAAACGCCATCATTCATTATCTTCATAAGCAACCTCCCTTCAACTGCATCATATTCATCGATTCTCCAATCATTGGAAGAATCACACCAAAAACTCAATCTCCTTCTCTCTTAAACCAGTTCTTTGCTCCCTTCATCATCATTTGCAATCTCCTACGAATCTTGCGTCACCTTGAACCGCAACACCATTCTTCTTCATCACAAATCTTCAATCACCTTCAAGAATTTGTTTCATCTCTTCACAACAACATCAATCTTCAAGAACAGTTATGTGATTATTGTCTTGATTCTATGCGTTCAACAATGACATCACAATCAACTAACAACAAAAATGTAAAAACAAAAACACAAAAGAAGTTTTTGAACACAGATACCAGATCAAGTAGAATGAGAATGAACAAGGAATTGTAAGTGCTTACCTGAGTCCTCATCACCGACGTCGTCGAAGTGAGATCAAATGTTTGAAACCACGAAGCAGAGGACGTCTTCGAAGCTTTGAAATCCGATAATAGAGGTTGATGAAGGCAGCGAACGAAATCGCACAGTTGATGAACAAAGCAGCGGCACCAGAAATTGATGGACGCCAGCATAATTTCTAACAATGACAACTCATATTAAAGAAGGCAGCATCAAGGCAAAACGAATATGGAAACAGAGGTTGCGAATCATTGAACAAAAGTCGAAGCCAATGGCGGAGGGAGTCGTATTAGTAGACTTAGGGTTTGAGATTTCTGGAGCTTTGATCTCGTTAACTGAGGAGAGGTCAACAAAATCTGAGGTCAGGTTCGTCTTCAGAGGCTAAAATGAAGTTAGGTTATTGTCAAGATGTTATTGTTTTGCGTTGATTTCGGGAGGTCTTCTTTGTCTAAGCGATTTCTGGCATGGTGGAATTTTGAGAGAACAGATAAACAAATAGAAACAGGTTGAGAAGAGGTTGAGATGGTTAAGTTTGTCACAAATATCATGGTGGTTGGGGATGGATCGGTGATAAATAATTTGGACTACGTCGCGTCTGAGAAAGTAGAAGGATGAGGTATCAGTAGGTTTGAAACATATGAAGGGTCACAAACCTTATCCAAACAAAATGCTGACGTTTCTCCTTTATCTCATTTCCTTTTTATTTTATTATAAAAAATTGGAAAAAAATCTGAATATATTTGGACATGTATTTTCACTGGACTCTACCTGGATCGTTGCTCTTTTTAGAAGTGTTGTGCCCCAAAATTTTCCCTCCCATTCTATTCAAGGCATGCTCATTGAGGTCCCCAATTGCTCAAGGTTGACCAAGAATTGACCAAACAAATTCTCCTCATAAGCAATGGATTTCCATCTAGGGTTTCATTTCTCACAAATAATTTTGGTTTGCAAAAACTTCAAATGATTTCCATGGCACCCTATACGCCTCAGCATAATGGCATAACTGAAAGAAAGAATAGAAGTATACTGAACTTGATGAGGTGTAAGTTGAAAGCTAAAAATTGCCCAAGAGATTTGGGGTCGAAGCAGCTTCGAAAGCAATATACACTCCGATTAGATGCCCAACGAAGCAGTGTTAGTTGGGAATTTTGATTACACAAGTTTTGAATAAATGACACTATGATCGAAGAAAGAGTAGTTCAATAGAAAGTGTGAGGAGGCATTTACGAATTCTTCGATTGATGAAGATCTAGTAAAGAGCTTCGACGGGTTCGTTTTCAAACTATTGGAAAAAATAAGCTATTTGAAGCATTATAAGGGAAGGCATTTCGATTGTCATGTTGATTTGAATTGACGCTTCGAAAAGAAGAAAGAACATAATGAAGCTTAGACAGTCACAACTATCACAACTGTGTTCGAAGAATATGACTAGAACAAAGCTTCGACTGGTCGAATCGACTAACCACCTGCACAACTATGTTCGAAGAAGATGACCAGAACGAAGTTTCTAATTGTCGAATCGAAGAATCACCTGTGCAGAAAGAAAGAAGATCGAAAGGAACAAGAACTGAGTTCGACTAGGCTGATTGGATATGAGGGGTTCCTAGATTACATAATCGAAGCAGATGGTGACTTAATCGAAGAAGCCATGATGATGAAGCCTTGAGTAATTCGAATTGGAACTTAGAGCCATCGAAAAGAATGAAGCTTGGGAGCTTGTCGAAAGAATCAATTTATGTGAAATGGAGATGCAAGTCGAAACAAGCACCTAATGGGACGAAACCTGTCTAGGTTCACTCAAAGTTCAAAATGGCATGAAATATCTCAGAATGGCAAATTTTCAAATCTGATGATTTTGCTTTCAAAGCCATAGTTAATGGCTGATTCATGCCATGTGTGTTCATCACCATACCCCTATAAGTACAAGATTAAATCAAAATCAAAGGACATGCAAAAAAATGCCTCCAAGAGCCACACAAAAAAAAAATTTCCTCAAAGAGTCACACGAAAACCATCTCAAAACTCTCAAAAATCCCATAAGTTGTCTAAATACAAAACTAGCTTTGTAAGCTCCCTCAGTCCAAATGAATACCAGATTCGTTCTCCTGAGACTCCCAGGAAGCCATTCCCAATCCTTGCACAAGCCATCCCACGCTCAAAACTACAGAACGAAGCACCTCCGTTTGGTAAAAAAATTCTAATCTTAAACTCATTCGATCTATGATTTAAACTCATTTTGACTGCATATTCATGTTATTATTGTTGTTTGTGAATTATTTAACATAATGCATGTAAGTTGCAGTGTCCAAATGACAGGATACCATTGTTAGGGCCTTCGGAGCTGATTGCTTTTAAAACTCATGATATAGGTCGTTTCAGGCCAAAACAACCCAGATTCGGACTCAAGAGTTCAAATTGGGGGGGGGGGGGGGGGGTCGAATCAAAGGGAAGAGACCTGGTTTGATACCCAGGTCGTTCGTTTCGTTTTTTCTAACAATTGTCTTATAGATCCAATGCTTTCAGATTCCACGTGTACACCATACACCACATGATCATAACCAATGGATCCCCATCTAGTCCAGAGCTAAAAGCTTTAGACGTATGCCTCACCATGCACCTTCGAAAGGCTCCTTCATTGGATCGAAAGGAAACCTGGGCCTCTTTTCGATCCAGGTTTGTGCTCCACCCCCTGTTTACTTTTACTGCATGGCCCATTTATACTTGTTTACTTTGTTTTTTTTTGTTTATTTCTTTTAGTTTGTTTTTTTTAATCAACATAAAAATTAGAAGAAGAAAATATAAGTAACTTAGAATTAGGTTTTACTTTTTAATGATTTAATTTAGTTAATTATTTTAACTTATTTTCTCAATTTTAAAATCGGTATACTTAGGATTTATTTGAATTCAATCCTTTTCATTAACTAAAAAATGCAAAAAATATTATGTCTGTTTTAGAGTTAATTTTTTTCAATAATTTTAATTAATTAGATCTTACTTAATTGAACATTTAGCATTTTCCAAACAAAATAAAACACAAAAAATATTTCCATACACTTGGGATTTAAACGTTATTTTCAATTCACGCGTATTTATTGCTTTCGTTATCATTTGCATACTATTGTAACTACCTACTGGATGTAATAGCATAATTAAGACTTTACATTTACTTCTTTATTTCCCCTCAAAGTTTTGGATATGTATTTAATCTCCATCCCCGAAGCCTTGTAATAGTTTAGAATTTACCTTTCCGCATTTTAAAATCCTTAAATTATTAACTGCTTAGATGCATGACTAATAGGATTATATGGAAAGAGTTTAATAATCAAAAGCTAGAAAACCTAATGCAAAAGATAAATAACTGAATACAACACAATTGCACATATACACCTCTAGAGTACCCCACTTTGGTTGCCTTCGGAAAAACAGTCACAACTCTCAGAACGTGAGAAATTTTAGTGACTACCCTCCAGTTTAAAGATCATATGTCCCTCGATAACCCTCTCGATGTTGCCTCGGTAAAAATGATCTTAAAACCCTAGGGTAGTTACTAAGGTTTCTTTCCCAGTTTCCTTTGTGACTATAAATGTCCCTTCGAATGTCCCTCAAACATCCAACGACTAGGGCTACCTACTCACTTATAGTAGGATAGCACTGTCTAAAGGAAAAGAGGAAAAGAACAACCCTTTCGAGTAAAAGTAGATAGTTCCTAGATGTTATGCTCAAACAACTTTTACACTTGGACAAAAACTTCTTTCAAAAAACATTTTCAAAACGCTTTATCAACACTCTTGAGGACTGATACAAGAGTTATCATAAAGCAAGTTACCTTACTATTGGCATTTCAAAAATACATTTCAAAACACACAACGTACAAGGTATTTCAAAATGAGCCAAACATCTAAGAGCCCATAGAAAACTACGGATGGAAAGGGTGCTAACACCTTCCCTTTCTATAATCTACCCCCCTCACTCAGAAAACTCTCGAAAGGTCTTTTTATATTCTTTTCACCCTTTCCTTTGTTGGATAAAAGAAAAGTCGATGGCGACTCTTTCTTACTGCAATATTTGCAAACACAAATGCAAAACCAATATAATAGTTAGTTATGCCACCGTATCACAGAATTGGAGACTTTGCTAGGGACACTTATAAAAAGTGGAGTTACCTTAGAGTTTAGTTTATTTTTAATTTCTTTACATCATGTGTTTTGTATGCTTTATTTTTGAGGACTTGTTTGGGTTGTTACTAAAGATCCTACACTCAGATTTGGGGAACCTTTTTAGGTAAGCAGCAATAGATCGTGGAGACTGTACAGCATAGACCAATATGGTTGAAGCGATAGCTACGTTGGTGTGACACATTTGTTGGTACCGGTATCCCTTGTGTTAAATCGAGGAGAATACGGGGCCGATGTGCGGTGTCATAAAATACTAACGAACCTTAGAACCTTAGTTGAACAAACTTGGCCATTAGAAATTAGTGAGATAGTCGGCCTCGGTATAAAGTTGAGGATCGGTTGATACTCGATGCTACACTCATTGAGATCGTACTTTCAGGATATTTCGGCCGCGAGAAAAGATCGCCTGAGCTGAAACAATGCCTGATAAAGAAAGATCAATGATATTGAGACTCCTTAGAACCCGATTACTTTTCTAAGACAGGTTGAACCAACTAAAACTTCAAGAGGGTATCTTCCTATAAACCCCATGCAAGCCTAAACCTAAGGTCTTGTGTGTTTTGCTTGTGTGTGATTAAATTATTCCAACATTAAATCATGCATCATAACATCCATATTCATTTAACTAACCATTTCAAGGACCAAGGGAATTTATCTTTGTTCTGTTTTACAGATCATGACTTGCGTTCATAGAAATACCATCTGAATCAGCTTTGTAAGAATACCTCCCCAACTTAAAGAACTAGTATCAAGGGTTCCTGATACTTCTTTGTTCACCAATAAATATGGTCGACTTCTCAACTTGGTTACCTCAAACTTTGATGAGAAGATGATGGGTGTACTCTTTCAGTTCTTTGACCCCAAACACCATTGCTTCATATTTCCCGATTATCAGTTGGTACCCACCATGGAAGAGTTCTCTCAATTATTGGGTATACCTATTCTTAATCAGATGCCTTTCACCAGTTTAGAGGAAGCTCCAAAGCCAGAGGTCATTG